GGGGCATACTATTTGGCTCAGAGCTCAATTATGCGTGACCTTCCTGTTTTTACATCGGATGCGATTCAATTTGCCACCCTTTACTCTCATCTCCTTGAAGTGAACTAATCTGTGCGCGAATTTTGCACGGGGGGCGGCTTGCCTTCATGCGAGATGTTTTTTACGCCAATTCTTTTCCTTCGCTGCTTACAAAACACCTGGTACCTGTAAGAAAACCGGTTAAGTTAATAGGCAGCTCTAATACCTTGTTGGAAATTGGCTGGAGAATAGGTTTTGTTTTGCAGACAAACTGACCTCAACTATAATGTTGAAGGGAACTGGGACTGTTTGCTTTCTCAGAGTTGGAGCTTCGGACCACGAGCGTGTCAGACTCCTGGCAAACTAGATGGGAACACCCGCAACGCCAAACGACAGTGGCGTTATTTTACCCCTTTCGGGCCTAATTTCTGCCTGATGAAAATTTTGTACTTCTTGAACAGGTAGAGCCTTCTGTGTTGACTCGAGAAGCGAGGGAATGTTTAAGAGGTCAAGCAAAACAGTGTGTGGACGATCCGCTAGCGTGAGAAGGACACACAGAATGCAAACGCACGCGTGTTCACCGAAGACATTTTTGAGTCTTCCTTCATCCACATTCGAATTTGGAAAAAGTTGATATACTAGTCTAGGCGGAGAAACACATCTCAGAAGACGGTGTTACAACACAAACATCAACCCTCACGCTGTAAACGGTGCTTCAAAAACGACAGGGAATTTAGTTTGCTTTCAATGAAAAACCATACAGTCGGTCGGTGCAACAAATATGATAGAAGCCAAAGGTCGGTGGTTTAAGGAAACAGGAAGAAGCCCCTTTGTTCAGTAAAAACACCAAAAATCCTAGATCCCACAATTCATCCCGAGACGAGACTTCTAGCTCAGTATGGAGGTGGCAAGAGGCGGAAGTAGGCCAGAGCAAAAATAAAAGAAGGGCCTGAGACTTGGTCGAACTTCGCGATGTGCATACCTAGAAGATTTCACTTTATGTATGGCAAGTTAGGAGGCGCAGTAATTCATTTTTGTTTATTTGAGCAAATTGACAATATCTTCCACTTGGAAGCAGTATGAAAACATAAACATGACACTTCTTCTCTCAACGGCTAACTTCACCGTCTTATGCTTATGGCTTAGGTGACGGGTAGTGTGCCTTACGGATCGACATTGCGCTGTATCCGGAGTTGTCCGCGAGGTGTAATCCTTGTTCGAAATGGGCATTGAAATTGAGGGTAGGTTGAAGCGTTGTGAATCATGCCAATATCATTGTTCCCAAGGATTGTGTTAGTTGGGTTGGGTTGAACACGGAGATTTCCAACCAGGAGGGTCCGGGCCCATAGGACGCGGTCATCAAGAGAGTAGGTTGAGAGGGGTTGATCAGCCTTAGCATTAGGTCTCGATACCAGGTCTAATTTCGGGATGTACCAGTTACTGATCAACTGTGCCTGCTCAGTTCTAGTTATTGTTGTTGCTGTTGATGATGATGTTGCTGGTTGTGGTAGGTGTGGTGGTAGTGGTGTTTGGGTGTGGTGGTGATCGTCGTAATGAAGGGGGGGATGGGGGGTCGAGGGTTGCTGGTACACAAGAAGGGTAGTGTAAGCAAGGTTGATTGAGGGGAATTATTTCTTACGGTAAATCAGTCCACACCCCAATATGACAGACCTGATGGTTCTCGGCGAGAAGATTGCTGATGACAGCGTCATCGTCGTCGAACTAATCCTGATGGTGGCGACTTGTGCGACCGAGGACAACCAGAGCGGTCGACTAAACTGTGTCTCTTAATTGGCACCATCGGCTCTCCACTGAGAGGCGTTGGTTCGGTGTCTGTCGTGGCGCGGGGCCTCTGTCTATCGCGTTTTGCGCGACTAGCCGCGGACTGGTCGGTTCGACCCCCGGTATTATGTTGGCAGGACTGTGGCTTAGGTAGAATTTAAAGCACTCTTTTCTCCTTATCACCGGGGCCTAGTGGTAAGACAGAGTCAGAACGACCGGAGGCGAACACGGGCGCAATGGTTGATAGAGCTGAACAGCCGCCCACAAGTAAAACACCTCGTGTTGTACTCGTAGGCATGATGGACCAAGTTCTAACAGAACCATGGGGACGCCTCGGATCAAATCTCAATGCGAGTGTCGTAGAGGTCACATTTAGAATGAGAGCCTGCAGTCTGATTTTTCATCCTGAGACGAACACATCCCGAAAGTAGACCTGGTGTCGTGATCTAGCTCTATCAACCATAGTGTCCGTGATAGAGCTAGATCACGACACCAAGTCTACTTACGGGATGTGGTCGTCTCAGGATGGAAAATCAGACTGCAACCAGGCCCAGATGATTAGGATGAAAGCAAGCCGCCCCCCGTGCAAAATTCGCGCACAGATTAGTTCACTTCAAGGAGATGAGAGTAAAGGGTGGCAAATTGAATCGCATCCGATGTAAAAACAGGAAGGTCACGCATAATTGAGCTCTGAGCCAAATAGTATGCCCCATTTGGGATGTTTATCGGCCTCGCTTTTCCGAATGCGTCGCGATAGTCCCAAGACGACGCTTTGTGCGTTTCGTGGGTAATGCCATCCAGACATAGGCAAGCGTCAGGTGGTGAAGACAACCTAGGCGGTGAACGGCTACAGTCCCGTCGCCAAATAAGCCTTCGGGAAGTTTTAATGACTCTTGTGCATAAAAGCCCACAATTACAGACATCCAAATCAGGCCAAAGAAGCAGAAAGGGTTATGTATTTGGACAGAAGTCAATCTTGCTAGTGCGCTTTAATAGCCATATGGCTTGGAGGACTCGTGGCACTTCTCCCTGTCACACACAAAGGCGCACCTTCCGAGCTTACAGTCATATCCATGATAATGACCCTGTTCACAACTCTCCTTCATGCAGCCCTCAAAGACTATGTCTCCGATGAGTTTGCCTTTGATCTTGATTGTCTTAGATTCCGGTTCCCAACACCTGTCGAAATCACAGACTCTTTTGCACTGCTGGTTGTGACAATTGTAGCCGCGGTACTGGCCTTGGTGGCAGCTCTCCTCGAAGCAGCCCTCAAAGATCACATTGCCCTCAATCCTTGCCTTGCCTTTGATGGCCTTATATTTGGGTTCCCAGCACTGATCCATGTCACAGATTTTGCCGCAGTATCCGTCATGGCAATCATAGCCAAAGTAGTGATCACGATGGCAGGTCTCTTCATAGCAACCCTCGAAGACTACATCAGCCTCAATTCTGGCCTTGCCGCTGAAAGTCTTGTGCTTAGATTGCCAGCAGTGATCAATGTCACAAATGCGAGCACAGTAACCATTGTGGCAGTCCTGTCCGTAGTACTGATCGTTGTAGCAAGTATCTTCGTAGCAGCCTTCGAACACCACATCAGCCTCGACTCTTACCTTGCCTCTTAGGGTTTTGTACTCGGGGTGCCAACAATGGTGAAGATCACAGATCTTGCCACAGTATCCATCGTGGCAGTCGTAGCCATAGTAGCCATCCTTGTGACAGGAATCCTCATAACAGCCTTCAAAAATCATATCGACTTCTATTTTCGCTTTGCCTCTGACGACCTTGTACTCCGGTTCCCAGCAATGATCAAAGTCGCAAATGCGGCCGCAGTAACCATCGTGGCAGTCATAGCCGTGATAGTTGCCTTTATGACAGGACTCCTCGTGGCAGCCTTCGAAGATCACTTCGGCTTCAATCCTGGCTTTGCCTTTGAAGGCCTTGTATTGGGGTTTCCAGCAGTGATGAAGATCACAGATCTTGCCACAGTATCCATCGTGGCAGTCGTAACCATAGTAGTCATCCCTGTGACAGGAGTCCTCATAGCAGCCGTCA